GGCTACGGAAGGCTTAATGTCTGGGACAGTGGGACAGTCTCTGGAGCTGGCGTAACACTCTTTTTGACCAGTCGCAGAAGACTTGTAACCGCTCGGAGATCTCAACTGAAAACCGGAGCACATCGAAGGCCGTGGAGGTTACGGGGAGGGAGGGCGGCGGCGACAGAGGAGCCTCCTCACTCATCTAAAGAAGGAAAGAAAATGACACTGGTAGTAATTATAATGATCTCATCACGAGAGATGTTCTTCAACAGAATCTGAAAACATGACCCTGATGCTCTACTTTGCACTTGTGGATTTTAATGGGGCGACCAACATGCTTTTATCAGTGCGAATGTGAGTACAGTCATTTGGCTGCTGTTCCTGGTTTCTCCTCTTGCTTTGCTATTTTTTCATTTTATTTTATTTAGCTTTTGGTGTTTTCAAAATTTGGTATTTTTTTCATTCTTACTGTCCCTGTAATCATAATGTTCCAATTTTACCTTCATTACAAATTCCCATTTCATGATATTGATTGAATTTGAGTTGAATTTATTTTATTTGCAACCTTATACATTTAAAAATCACATTGTACAGCTTCCTCTTACTTCTGCTTATTTCATGTTCTGTTATCTTTGTCAGAAAAAGACATTTCCCTTTTATTTTTGTGTCATGTGATTTTACTTCATTTTAGGGTGCAGTTATCTTCCATATAATCCAACTTTTTACCTGGTGAAGAGATGAATTAAGCAGGTTGGACAGCTGCAGGAGGTGAGTGCCGGCGCCCTCTGCTGAATGGGAGGATAAACTGACATTTTCTTTGGCTGTTTTCAACCAGTCCACATGAAGTTTAAAGGCCTGAGCATGCACGTAGAGCTGAGAGAGCGACTCATTAACCTGTGGGAGGGACAGACTGTTAACCTACATAGTGAAGCAGCAAGGAACACGCAGAACAGTACATTTCTACAATTATCAAAGTTAGTCCTAGATGTAGAAACGTTACCTTCAGTGAGCTGAGATGGGTAGCAGTGTGATGTATGTGAGGAAGACTGTGAAGTCTGTGCTCCATATCAGCAAAGTTTAGGAGTTCAACATCTGACTGTTGAAAACAAAAATGGAAGCAAAACACAATTTAAAACCTCTAAAGAGAAAAAAGTCAGAGGATGGTCTGTTTTTCATATTACAGTATATAAATTTTATACAAAGCTCCAGCTCAACCAGCTACATCATTACAGTAAAGCTCATCCTCTTGTGCGTGGATGTAACTCCTACCAGGTCGTGGAAGCTCTTGGATAAGTTCTTCAGCCTGTCTACCTGAGCCATCATTAACTTCAGCATGCTGCAGAGGGAGGATGTGTGGGAGGTACGAGAGGATGAATGGACAAACAGCTCAGCCAATAGCAGCAGGTGGAGACAAGGTGCGGAGTCATGGATTACTATAAGGCAGGAAAAAGATACATTTATCAGCTATAATGTTCAGCACAAAATAGGGTCAGCACCCAAATCACTGAGATGTTTCTGCTGATTATGAAGTTACACGCTGCCTACTATCTGCTTGAGAGTAAATCGGTGGTAAACATTCATTTTACAGTCCAATGCCTCCTGAAATCAACCTCGTGTACCTTTAAAAGTACTCCAAAGTCTGGCATGCTTGCTAGGACCGCAGCCTTAAGAGATCAAGGCTGTGGTACTAATTGAGATGCAGTGTGTCATTACAAAAACATCTTCCTGCTCTTCATCATGCAGCTGCAACTCCACATGGTTTAAGAAAGGACAACACAGCTGAGCAACATTCAGCTGTGGTTGCTCAGTGTTTACAGCTGCACGGACAACTACACAGACAGTCCCACAACAGCTGACTCCAGCAGGAAGTGAACCTGCTCAGATTTGTTCCCCTCTCCTTGACCCAGACCCGCCATGTGTGTGAATCAGTTGGGAATCCACAAGGTTGCATGCAAACACACTTTTATTTCTGACCTAAATCAAAGCCACATGACACATTACACGATTAATCATGAGGCAGCAGCAACAAGCTTCTGTGATGCTTCAGTCTGTGTTTGTCTCGACAGTGAGGAAATCATAAACTGTTTTATGAGATGTACGGTACAGTGGCTTCAGAGGATTCAGACCCCTTCATTTTTGTACATTTTTGTTGTAGACTAGGTTTTTAAAATTCTTTTACAAACATATCTAAAACCTGTATTCAGTTTCAGTGTAGGTTGATGTTCAACAATGGCAGATTTATCCATATAAAGTTTAATCTACAACATGGTAAAATGTGCGAGAGTGAAGGAATCTGGAGCCACTGGATTTGCCATAACTACAGCTAACTGTATGAGTAGCAGTTACCCAGGCAAAACAGTGGGACAAAATCAATGTGCATTAACTGTTTTAAGATGGGAAAAGGCTCATTTACCTGAAATAAACAGTTTTATCTGAGCATCACTGCCAGTTAATTCTGACATCAGATATAAATAAGATGCATCCAGTCAGGTTCAGGGAACTGGTTCAGGTTTGAGATGAAAGGTTTGGACAGAAACTGGGTCAGACACTGATTTACTGTTAGCAGCTGAGTGTGTGGGTGTGAGAGGAGGAGGCAGATTTTTGCAGACTGATCATCTACAGATACTAGTTTAAGAGGTCAGATCAGATATGTAACATCTTAGATTTTTATGGTTTGAAGATGACCTGGATGATTTAGGTTCAAGTGGAACATCTGCAACACATACAGAACAGCAAATTAGTGTCTCAGCATAAAATTGTCAGCATAGACATAATGCTGTTGAGTGGGACCAGGGCAGGGGGGGTGGAAATGTTAATGAATAATTCTGGTTTGTGATGTAGTTTTGGACAATGTTTCTGTTGATTAATAATAACCTCAAAAGGTTAGTTGCAGAGATCTGGGAATGTGGTGGCAATGAAAAATAAGTGGGGCAGAACGGAATAAACCAGCCGAAACTAAAATCAAACTGACTCAGTGGTTCGTTGACATCTTGGACATGTGTATCTATAAATTTAAAACCTCTCTTTTTTCCTGGCTTTTGATTACCATGTATATTTTATCCAACTATTTTATTTTAACATGTTTTTAAATTTCTTCATCTATTTTGTTGGTCATTTTATTGGTTTTATTACGTTAGGCCATTTTTCCATCTGTGTTGTGATATAAAACATTTAAATGCGGCTTTAAGTTTTCTAAACTTATTTCTTTTCTGGTGAAAATCGGTGAAATGTTTTGTAGGACCCTGTAATCCTGTTGGATGATTGTCTGAGGACTATTTTTCTTTTAATCTGGGAAAAAGTGTGTGTGTGTGTGTGTTAGAGTGAAGTCAGTGAAACAGCAGAAATGTTTTCTGAGCGTTTGTCAGGGGATGTGCCTCAGTTCCTCCTCCTGTCTTTAATTTACCCTTGGAATCTGTCACCTGTTTGTCTTTTAATCTATCAGTCAATCTGAGAATGCGTTATTCCCTTCAACCCTCTGTGGGTTGGTCTCGAGTTTTCTTCCCAAATACCTAATCAGTGATTATTCAAGGAAATAACACTGTCTGCCTGTAAATCTATACGCTGGTGTAGGCAACTTCAAAAGTCCCATATCCCAGGGCGATAAAGACATGAACTGTCCGTTAACATTAGATCACAGAGAAGGAATGAGAGCTATGCTGTGGGTTTTTTCCCAGCCTGCTCTGGACCTCCTCTTGGAAAAGGAGAGGGGAGCTGGCGGAGCTGACTCAATCTGACTGTGGAGACATCAGTAGCACCTTGGGCTGCGCTCGTCACAGGCAAAACATCCACTTTGTTCCCTTTAAACACTTGTAGTGCTGCTCAGACGCTAACAGTAGTAACCACTTTATGGGTTTGGTCTGAGCAGAGGTCACTATGAGGGAAGTCCCGTCCACTTCTGTACCACTGTCTGATCCATAAAACCTTTTCACTTTTCATGCAGCTTGTCTGCTTGACTGACACAAGCCATGTTAATGTCTAGAAACCGTATTTTCTATTCATTAATAGTCATTTTCCAGAAAAAGAATGAAGCTTTCTGAAAGTTTTTGCTTTGCTCTGGCAAAGTTATCATAACTAAAGGTTCACATACAGGTGTTTTTGTTTTCCTTCAGAGCTTTAAACTATATCTATTGATCTTCAACAGAGGTTTGTTGAAGTCTATTGGTCTTAAAGCTTCAGGAAAAAGTCAGAATGTGGAGACTAATTTAATGTTAAACAGTGTGTGATGTAACCTAGAGGCAGGCTGTGATGGACTAAAAGCTCTTTCTGTGTGTGTCAGAGTTGCCACACGTCAGCTCGGTGTGAAGGTCAGCAGTGAGACGTGTACAAGGACAATGTCTTTGTACAAAGACAGTAAACTGTGCTTTTGTCCCATCTTTTGAACACAAGACAAAAATGTTTACTTTTAATGGGAACTAGCAGCAGCAGAAAATGGTCTGTTTGCACTGGGAGTCAGTTATTAGGCCTGTGAACAGTAAACAGAGGCTGAGAGCAAAAATTCCTCACTGCATGAGGACAGTGAGGAATTTTGACAGATTTTATGTGCTGCAGTTTTTTGTCGCTTCAGTGGATGTTTAGGTTGCATGCTTCATGAGTGAGGGTTTCATCCCCCTTGAATCCCTTGTGGCCCAGTATACACTCGACCAAAGAGTCCTCGCACTCTGTCACTTGTTTTCTTTACTTGTTTATTCCTGTTGAGGATTATGTGGCAGCTGTAGCTTTTCATGACAACAGGAAATACAGCTGCAAAGTAATCTGTTTTTACTAATTAAAATGTCTGGATATTATTACTATCCCAGAATATGGGACCTTCTTGTGTTAAAAACATTAGTCAAACATTGACTTCCAGCCTAGAAACACAGTCTGGTCTGTCTGACAGCATTTCCAGGTCAGACAGGTGTTGAGTTCAGTAATATCTGGAGGTTGAAGTCTTTCGCTTCTCCTGAACATCAGTAACGCTGTATTAGAACCCTAAATGACCACAGCCAGATGTTCACTTGCAGTTTGTTTTTACTCAACTACCCAAAGCGGGACAGTGAATAAGCGGACTCAGGGCTTTCTGCCAGTGCTCCCCATTAAGTCACTTATAATTTCTCTACTTGCAATAAGAGTCATCATAATCGTTTTCCTTCAGCTCAGGGCTCAAACCAGAGATTTGGAACAACTTCATAAGACTGTAGTAAAATGACTGAAGAAGACTTCAGCAAAAATGCTCAGTCAAATGAAAAAGCGTCCCCCAGCAGCACACAGTCATATTTCTGGCAGTGTAAATAGCTGTGACAGCACCACAGCTCATAACCAAATTGCTAAAGAAGCAGAGTGAATGGCCAGACTTTGATGCATGTAACAGATAATTTCATCAGCAAACACGTAGCGTCTTATGCTTCCCCAGCTTCCGTACTAGTTCGTGTCCTCCTTCATTTTGCTGAGTCAGATGCTGCACAGAAACACTGACACAGTGAAAGCCTCATTCCTCAGTCATTTACTTTTACTCTCAAGGACTTTCGGTGAACTTCTGCACAGATGTAAATGACGTCTGGCAGGAAGTGCCCTGCATGTTCAACTTCCAAAATCAACCAAGAAAACGTTATTTGCGTGATGGTACTTTAGCCACTTTTACAAATTAAATTATCATTACTGATATTGGGGGTGCTCCGGGAGTACTGGGTTCGGGGCCCTTTGCTAAGGGCTGTCCGGTTCCTGTATGACCGGAGCAGGAGCTTGGTTCACATTGCCGGCAGTACCCGGTTCCGGATAAGCGGAGGAAAATGGATGGATGGATGGATGGATAGTGATATCGGTGATCCCAATATCTTTTTTATTGCAGTTCCAGGGGGACAGGGACGAACTGGCATCAGCAGTGACTCACTCCCTCTGTGAATCGATCTGTGGTCCTATACAGTGACCGTGCAACCTGCATTACAGTAAGTGCCCTGGTGATGTGCAATGATGGCATCACTGTCTGCCTACCTGACTCATGTGTTTCACCACTCTCACCTCTGCCAGATACACACGTCATGTTTCAATCCTCCTGTTTTTGTAACTAGTCACCAGGTTTCACAACAAAACAGCCATCGACTCACCAGCTCCGTGTCATCCCAGAGTGGAGGAGCCCTGATGCTGACACACTAGGACTCTGTTACCCTTTGTCACGTAGTCTGACATTTTCTAGGATGTGACCCACTGGTGCTGACCAGTAGACGCACAGAGAGCACAGACATCTTCAGCACACAGCTGTAAACGTGTGACGTGAGAGAGGACATCTATTTCACTTCAGTGCAGCTGTGACCATGTTTCCATCAGGCTCATGTCAGGAGCCTTAACGGTCACCCTCCCTCTACCAACGGACAGATTCCAGCTCCATGATGAACGGCTCCAGGTCATTCATAAAGCAGTGTTGACATACAAAACTCATAAGACGGTGAGCTCAACGTAGACTCTGTCATAACCACAGCATTTTTTTCATAAAATCTGATTCTGGCACAACATCATTTCAGACTACAGCTCAACTCATGTTAAATCTTAGAACATTTAGAAATACTGTATGTTTACTGTGTACTAGTGGTTTATTTAAAAGGGATACACTGCCAGTTAGGATGACATGCGGTTTCAATGCTCTTAGTGTAAGCTGCTCTGGATAAAAGCACCTGAAATTTTAATGCAAGTCTGCTGCTGCTGGACACAGTCATACACATACAGTTGACTGGTTGAAACTAACACACACACACACACACACACACACACACACACACACACACTCAGGAGCAGCCAGTCACAGGTTCACCTGACACCAAACAATGTGGTGTTTGTTACATTCAAATGAACATTTAACACTTTAAACTGAAGCTAACAACAAGTCTCATTCATTCATTCATTGTCTCAAACTCTGTCAGATTGTAAGGAAAAGTAGAGCCCACGTGCAGTAGAGCCCCTTCCTCCACACAAACACACAGCCTCCTCCACACATCTTCACTCACTCTCTAAAAGTAACATAGACAAACTTACACTTCATCTTTCTTCTCCCGCTGTAGTAAACAAACCTCCTTCTGGGTCCAGTGTGTGTACTGTACGTTTGTGTGTGTTTGTGTGGACAAAATGTAAAAGTTCCCTTTTATAGCACACACTATGACACATCACCTGAGTCATCAGCCATCGTCGCCATT